TATATATATATATATAGAACAGAAAGCGATACCCAATATTTTTTCGTACGAGACAGATATATAATTATAACAAAAAGTGTGAGATAGTTTTAAGTATCTGTACATACATTTTTTAATTTATAGCTTCTGTCTTGTATTTTATTGTGAAAATTGGCTGGTGAGGACTTTTAATTATATATTTCGAAATCTATTTTTATTAAAATGTATCCAACCGTAGAATCACTTAAAGAAAAATGTCTAGTTATATAATTCGTTATCCTTGCTCTAATCTTTGTTTTTATAAGTGATAAAAAAAAAATTAATAATTCTATTCATATTAAATAATACAGATATTACATAATTTCAATTTAAACTTCGATTAATCGAAGTCAACTTAAATTAATTATCTTTAAGGTTGCCGATAGTAGGATTTGCTAAAAGGTTTGATATTCTTCAAAATTTTTCACAAAATATTTTTGTGCAAATATTTATGGAATTCTTCACATCTTAATCATTAAAGATTAAGCATCAAGAGTTCCTTGAAAACGTAATTAAAATTGAAAATCAATGCATATAAAATCCGAGATAACCGAAGATAAAGCGAACTTGTTAAACGCGATGAAAAATTGATCTATTATAAATAAACTGAATCAATATATATCAAGTGAATCTAATGTTATGTTTGATATATCACATAATATATCAAACCAATTGATATACCATAAAATCATATCCTACAGAAGATATTTCTGTATTTTTTGTGACAATATATAATGTTAATTATTACAGATATATGCAATAATTAATAAATATATTAGTGAACAATATATAGAATATCTTTCAACAAAATTATATAATTTTATTATATAATCAAATTTAGTAAATACAGAATCTCATTTTGTAAAGATTATGTATAAAGTCTTATCGAGAATATGTATAATTTTATTATATTTATTTTAATACACGTATATGTGTAAAAATAAAATGTATATAATAAAATTATATAATTGTTTTCCTTTTTTCCTTTAAATTTGTTTTACATGGAACATCATAAATATATATGTTTCACATTACGTACATGAATATATGAGAAAAAATTGTGAAGAGACAACTGCGCGAACATCAGCGATGATCAGCGAAGACGGAGCTGCCGTTATATTTGTGCACGCACACAGATAATCTGTGAGGAGATCAATATCGGGGTATGGCGACGCAGGAGGAGCGGCTTCGCACAGTGCAATCATTTACGATCGACGATTGACGGAGAGAGAGAAAAAAAATGGCACACGACATTTCTCGCCGGTCGACAAAGCGACCAGGATACATCTCCACGAATCACTTCTACAGGATCACAACCGGGTATCTGGAATCGCACTAGCGATACGGTGGACGCGTTCCTTGACGGAACGAGCGTATATCGAGGAAATCGACAGCGGAGCTTAAACGGCGTGAGACCGGTTGATAGATCGCTACGCGCCAAGACGACGATTAATCATCACCATGGCGAAGTATGCCCACACTTAATTACGTCGCCTCATCTAATTAGACCGCATACTGGCACGCACAGCAGGTTTCGCTACTTTCGCTCGCGACGACACTCTGTTTACTATTTCCTCTATTCTTGTAATCGCACAGAAGTCTCAACTTATATGTCCCAATGCAATGATTATGTCTCGCAGCTTCCCCGAGCCTTGTGAAAGAGCACGCGAATTTTCTTTTAGTATTCAAATACTAGAAGAAAATTGGCTTGATGCGATCCTCCCATAGAGTACTGCTCCGGATTGCTCCGTTCTGCGGACTAATGAGCTATTAGAATCGTTTTATGCTACTTGTAATTTAATCTTATCTAGCCTCGATACTGTATCGGTTTTTGGGACTGACAGTGATGTTCGCTCGAGTGATTCAATCACGCGTCCAAACTGAAACATTTCACAGAACGCGTTCTTTGCATTGCACAATTTTCTATAATGAAATATTTTAAGATATTTTCGCATTCGTTGCCAATATATTTAGATAGATCAGATCTGGGTAAGCTATATGAATCTTGCAGTCGGGAAGTAAATTAATCTCTCCATGAAAGTTATGTAATATGATTTATCATGTCTATAAGCCTACTGTTTTGGTATAAACTCCTCGCTTATTTGTAAAATTTACATCTGCTTTTTATATTGTTTTGTATCCAAACTTTATACCTGATTAATACTAAAATAAGCTACTTATTCTAGAATTCAGAATGAATTCTAGAATAGAAAAAAAAGATACTTTGTTTTCAGAGAGATGATGATAGTATTCGTTTACGACACTGCAAAGTGTTGTAAAGAGGAAGATGACCCTGCTGAAGCAGTTATGTATTTCCATCCCGCTTGGGTATCTCTCACGCAGAGATTAGCTCTGGCGGGACAGCTGATGGGTGTGCATCACTTCCTGACAACATCGTTTTCAGCGCCACGCTCTATCACATTGCAAGGTGGAAAGTTTGTACTAAAGAAGTTTGGGCAATATGTGCTAGTAAGTACTCTTCACTGCAAGTAGTCAATTGCTGCTTTGCATTTATGTGCAACAATTTTAAATAAGATGCAACTTGAGAGTAAGATTTATATATAAACAGATAATCTGTAATATTTGTAATTTACTTATTATAATATAATCATGTATTTTCTCTTGAAGATATTGATAACATTAAATAATATTAATGTAAAAGAATGTCAATATTAAATTTCAAAGCTACTTGTCTTTTCTAAAGATTCCTCCAAGGAATTTAGAGTACATTTTGCATGATAAATTTATTCTTTGTATATATTACTGTATTTTGTATTATTCAGTTGATATAGATGTTAATTGATAATGATTATTTGTCCCAATATTTACAAAGAGCTATATCTGTTATACTTTATGACTCAGTTTATGAAATTAACAATCGTAAATTACGTTGTTTAATTTTTAGGCAGTGGGGACTGATAGAAACATACACGACTGGATACTCGAAAGACGCGCCGACACTCTGGAATCATTATTGAAGTTCTTTCACTGCGACCTCGTCCAAATTCTAGAATCCTTAAACAACGATCGTAATAGATTCACCGAGAAATTGTATCAGATGTTCGAGACCTATCTGCCAATTCTTCAACATAGTGCCAATCTGTTTTCTAACATTCCTGTTATTAAACTTCCTAAGGTTAGTGTAGATATTCAATGTAGAAACTAAATGCTAGAGGATAGAAAAAGAAATTTATGCCCAACATAAATATGAATACCAAAACGATTATATAAACTTACATGATTTTATATATTGTTTTTTTTTTTACGATAAAAGTGTTTCTCTTAATATAGAGTGCCAGCAATATATTCCTGGAAGGAATGCAAGTGTTACAGCATTGTCAAGAGATAAATGGCATTTTGGGTGGAGCGTTGTTTTATAATAACAAGTAAGAAATAGATCCATAAGTAAAATCATCGCTTTGATGTATCGTATTCTAATATATTTTCTTAGAATGTTATTAATGTTAATTATTACTCATACTAATGTTATTAACTGCTGTTTATTATTTTGACTGGAAATTATCTAATCTTTATTAATCTTTCTTTCAGAATAGTCTCAACACAGCTGGGAGCAGATCTAACAAAGCAAATAGTCATAACGGATCCTTACAGAATAAAGGTATTTTTATTTAAATGTAAATGTAATTCTCTCACATTGATCGATTAGAATGACACGTCTCACTTCTACCAATCGCTTCTATTCACAAGACATTTATAATTTATTGAATTTGAAGGCTCCTGCAGAAAGAATACCCACAGAATTTCACTTGCCGATTGGTGTTCAATTGTTACAAGTATACATAGAGCGAAAGCAATTCGCAAAATTGATGCAAGAGGCAAATAATGAACGATATTACAATTCGTGTTTAGATACCGTGACCAAAAAGATATTACACAGAAAGGTAGGTGTGTGAAACGAGCAAAATATTTAAAATTTAATTTAATATCCTTATCCTAAGCATTTCGATGAAAATTGTAATAATGAGCAACTTGTGAATCATCTTGTATTCAATTCCTTGAACTTTCAGACCTTATCCAAAACTGGTGTTAAGGAACCGTCCGGGATGAAGCGAGATACATCGAAAATTTTTACAGTTCCCGAAGAAGGCGAACTAGACTCCACGAATTACTCGGCACCGCAATACGTGTCGTCTGTATCGCTTGCGATTAATCACGAATCACCGATCAGACGCAAGCAAGAGATCAAATCAGAACGTTCCAAAGGTGGTATCACTGCCCATCCACTCACGCCCAGTGTCTGTGCGACACCATTGAAAGATGTAGATCGGGTGTTACATGGGAATGCTATGCTTATCTGCTCGTCTGAGAGCGGTGGTGAAAACGAGGAACTTAGAAATTCATCGAAAAGAGACGACGACGACATTCCCGATGTCGTTAAAGAAGCACTCAGGTACCTGTTCATTTTCAAACTAATTTTTAGAAATTTTGTAAAACATGCAAGATTATTCGAGGACATGGCTTTTATGGCAAACGTGAAAATAAGATTGATGACAATCAATTTTCTAGCTATCAAGTAATCGAATTTTCATATTTTTTATATCATATATATAACAGATGTAAACGCTTGAACAAGCTGAGAAACGCTACTTCGAAGAAGAAGCTGATGAAGAAAAAGGATCCCGACAGGAAGAGCATGAGTTTGCCAGATTTGACGTCATCAATTAAACCACGTTTGATCGGTATTCCTAGGACTCATCAACCGGAACTAGACAAAATGTAATTGAGATTTAATACTGTAATTACCTGCTTACCGAATTGATTATTAAGTTAGTATAATTACACTTTAAAAAATTAAACTAAATAATGAGGCTGAACTTAATATTTAAAATGAATGTTTTATATTATTTTACTATTACATTATATTATTATAATAGATTATGCAAATTAAATGAAGCCTCACCGGATGACCACGATTCAAATTCATTCCGACGTAAGTCCAGAAGTAATATGCGGCACTCGCGCACTATCGTCGATCCCTGTTATCCTGTCTTCCGATACGATGGTCTACCAGTCTCACAATCATTGTACGAGCAATACATCGCTTCCCATTGCGAGGAGTTGCGTGATAATGGCGATGGCATTTATGAACGCCATGGCGATGATGACAATCTGCAATCAAGGAATTTGCCGAGCGATCTAACGAACGCGAAATTGCCGATAAATAGCAGCCAGAATTCAATTACGAGAGAAGGTATGTTATTCAAATTTGTAAACTAAAAATCCAGCAAAAAATATTTTTTAATATAAAAAGAAGAATGCATCTCTCAAAAAGCAATAGTAATAGTAATGTCGTGAATATTCGAAATATACTTCAAACATTTGTTTTAAACATAAATCTTTAGAATGCGCCAAGCCTGGATACGACAAGAGCAAGCAAGAGACATACAAGAGATCAATGAGTTTACCGCTGAAGCCACTCAATGTCGTAGCTGAGGTGTCCAACGGCGATGATCGACGGAAATCGACATCGGAGTGTGGTGATATAGGAAGCTCGTTTGAATTTCCGCAAAGACGGAAGCTGGACGGTTTACAGTTGACGCCGCTGATGTCAAAGCTGAGTCTACTGGCCGACGAGCGAACTAGTGGTTTCTGCAGTCGCGAGACCACGCCGAGCGAATTCCGCGATATGTCCGGGTTTTCCGGTGGAGTAGCAGTCACTACTACGATGACGAATCAGCTGATTAAGCAGAAGTTGGAGTCCGTCGAAAAGGAAGCGAGTGATGGTGAGGATGAACTAGATGAAGACTGGGTCAATAAGGACGAGCCTGTCGCCTGCCTCATCAAAACTGAGCTCTTTCTCTGCGGATATCAAAATATGGTGTTGGTATTACTAATGGAAAACGGCACTGCGAACAATCCGGATTTGATACATGCTCTGGTAAATACATAAATTTTTAAATGAAATTCATTAGATTTAAGAATTAAAAAAATTGCGATGAAACGAAGGATTATTTTTTATGAACAATAATATAATAAAATATTTTTGTTCAAAATATTTTTTGTGTGTTATTCTTCTAAAGATGTAATTGTAGAAATAATATAAATAATTTGTTTCTTGTAGTGGCATACTTGCGTAAGCACGTTGGGCAAGCTCGAAACACGGCTGCAACAGTGTCTGGAGCCGCTGCCATCTACGGAGAACAAGGAATTGTATAGTATTCTGAGTGTGGATCCACAGTGGGACACGGTGCAACGTTCTGGACTCTGGGGAGTTACCGAATTGGACATCGTGTCTTGCCTTCACGACAGATTTACGCAAGCTAGCAGTTTGACCGACATTATCGTCAGGTAATTACAAAGATCTCCTATATCTTCAAAAATTTAACAAATTTATTGTTTCTTTATGTTATATTTAATTTATATTACTTGAAACTCTCCCTCTTTTTCATTCGCCAGTTTTAGTTTTATCCTTATAAGACAAATATCTTCTAGAGGATCAAGATTGCATTAAAATAATTACTACGGTTATTACTTGCTTTAGTTCACGCTTTAGAAGATTTATTTTGCCAAGTTACAAGTTGCAGTATAAATTTGCAAAAAATATATACGAAATTCTTATAACATAAATGGCGAACGAATGTGTTATTTATGACGAAAAAGTCGAGTTTGGTTAAATTAAAAGCATCAAGGAATATTTTTATTGAGCAGAACAGAAGACACAGTGGTTTACGGTAATCAGAGCGGAGGAGTAGAAGTTTTCTATCAGCAAGCAGTAGCACCGAGTGCTTTTGCGGCACTTCCCACCCCGGCGGATCTAATGGGAATCGTAGCTCTCAAGGCAAAACGTCGATTGGAAAGAGATCATGGGATCGTGCTACTGTAAATTCAGGACTGCGCGTTACTTCTTTTTCTTTTTTGCAAAAAAAAAGAGGATAATGCATACGGTCACGATTTCGCTTATTTGCACTTGGCAAGAGAAATTATTATATCCAAGAGAGAAGAATCGAACATTACTTTGACGAGATAATTTTAATGGGAGATATACGAGAATGTTTTTCTACGTATATTTTTGTAATCTGTGATTTTCCAATGTAATTTTCGAGCGTAATTCCGAAAGAATCGGTGGAAGATCGAAGAGCTTTTATATACCGCTGCAATGTACCTATGTAATTTCTATCGGTCGAGAAATTTTCTATGATAGTGGATCGACCAACCAGTTTGTACTTTACCGTTTCATCAATCATGCAAATCAATCACAACAAATATTATTTATGTTATATATGTTATTGTATATAAGATGTCTTAGAATCGACGGAAAGTAGATTCTAACATTATGGTTCCATTCGGGGAGCGCGCTGTTATGCCATTTTATTTATCTTTATTGTTTATTAAATAAGGAGAAAATGACGCACATAGCGCGCTCCTCGAATGCATTCTATATATGTTTTTAAAACTTAAAGACAAGTATAAAAAATTTTAACTCGCTAGTATATCGCAAAGCATATCTCAGTAGATTCTGATTTATAAGTCATTAGAAACGAGAAGTCTTTCGGGAATCAGACTTCAAAAGTGAAAATAGATAATATAACATATTGTTCATAATTTAATTTTTGAAACGATTTTATCTTAGCTTTTTTTTAAGATTTTTATTTGATATTTATTATTCACCGTATCTATATAATTACTATAAATAATAATATTGCCTTTTCTATTATTTAAAAATTACTCTTAAGATGTAGAATATTTATTTAAAAAATAATTTATTTCAGATTTTGTAAAGTACGACATTGTATCTTCATTGATTCTCGGACATCCTGTATATAGTCGATTTATTGTACATATACATTCATGTGCATAACAAGCCATTAGTAACTTATTTGCATTTTAATCGAATCAGCGCGAATTAGATATTCAGTTTTATTAGAAGATAATTAAATTATATTCTCCAAGTATATATTCCCCAAAAACGAAAATGGAAATCAGTATTCCGCGAATGCGTCCAATATTTCTAGTCGCTCTTGCTTTTGTAGAGAAAACATAGAAACGATAATAATAATGCAAAAAATAAAAAAATATCTACTCGATGTTGTCAATTTTAATGTAAAGATATTTTATGCGACGTTTTACGCGCCACTTTTTGCAATGCCATCGCTGTCTCGGTATTAAATCCGTTTTTGTTTCATAATATTTAAATAAAAATGTCGATGACCTCGCATAGAAATCTTCCGTGAAACAAGTTTTTCGTAACAACGATGTGCAATGTTTCCAAATGTTATATTGTAATTAATTTAAATGTTAATAACTGCATCGAAATTTTTTAGCGCAGAGTTGAATCATGTTATATATGTATATCATTCCATGCATTCTCTGATGACTTTTTCTCTGTATCTAATAGTTCTTGTTTGAGATGAAGTCTAATAAAGCGATTTATCATTCTCTTTACGTTCTTGAATTTATTTTCCTGTGCTTAAAATTAAAATACGCCGGA